AACATATAAATGATTTAAGAGAGGGGAAAAGTAAAGATGCACGTGTTCATGAAAGTATACATATTATTTAATCACTTAAATTTAAGACGGTTACTTTTTAATTATTAAAACCAAATTGGCCGCATTTTCTCGCTTGGTCGTTGATCCCATTTTACAATCAGGTCGCCTCTCTGATAATTTCAACGATTATCTGAGATACTCCACGCCTATTCCTTCACGATCGTTTTAATATTTTCAAATTACCGACTATCTCATCAAAAGGCTTAAACACCCATAAGCTATTTCATTCATAATTTCAGTCAATGTGAAAGTTGGACCGTTCACTGATTAAAGGGTGATATATGCATACTGAATACTCCACCACACAAATAACTAAGTTGGTTGAAGCGCTGTAAGTAATTATTGATGGTGTATTCAATATTCCGCCATAGGTCGTCTCACATTACACATTCACTCTAATAAATTCATTCACTCTCAATATATACAAATGGAAACACAAAACGGTTGTCTACCAAATACTATATACAATAAAACAGCCCCGTTTCCTCAAAACTCGGAACGAGTACCCAAAGATTTGATGACGTATATATTCACACTGGGTGTCATTCCGTAAGGAGCGAAGGGCACACTTCAATTGCATGGAGCACACTGAACAACCTTTCCCTACATGCCGGACATATTTGCGAGCTTTCGCGCAGAAGCGTCCATGTGCCAACCTTGCTTGGCTTAATCGGATGAGCATGATTCATGTTCTTCTATTCAGATCCTCCGAGGGGCACCCATCTTAGTACGTGACAGCTTCTCTGCTCACGCGTCCATTTCCGTTTAATAACGTTTTTAATCGCATTTTTAGAGTCAGAGAGATGGATCGGTGGTTATTTTCGAATGTTGGAACGTACCGGGCCTTAACCACTGTCCAACATTAACTCTATACCTGTCCTGGGCCCCAGACATCCACCATCGTTTTGCCGAGATGAGTTAGAGTATCTCTCCGACAAGGGCACGACGAGTAGGAGGGTTGATGAAGGTTCGTTTGATTTTAGATTGTGAAGATTGGAAGTTGAACACCCTTCAAATAAGTAAGACCCATAAGGCCAAAAGGAAATGTCCATGTGTCAATTTCATACGGCCTTTCGGTTATGACATCTCTTCTTCGATTCAGATCCTCAGAGGATCATATAACGACAGTGCATTTGATATGCAACAGCGTCTTAGCGATCTGGCCAACAGAAACAGCCACATACTTAATTCATGTTCCGTTTATACAGTATTATAAGTTTCCAAGTTTACAATCTAGATATACACTAGTACAAAGTAAAAAAAAATTACAATGGACGTCAGTTCTTTTGACTTTTATCGCAGAATATATTCGCGGCAATGTTTATCGATTAAAATTAAAAAATTATCTTCATTAATTTTCTAGTTAATAAATTATATATGTATAGTTGTAGCGCGTTTATACTTTATTTATTAAGGAACTTGTCCTGAAAATCTGTAACTTTTTTTTAACAGGAGGTATAAAACTCAAGAAACCGTTTGGAAAAGAGAGATCAGATTCTTTCATTAAAAAGTGAGCTCGATTGGGGGAATAAAAAAGAAACTAACTAGTTCTTAGGTTAGAGAAAACTGTACAATGTTTCCTCACGCTGCATCTAGCGGTATATGAGGCATAGGATAGGAAGAAAAACTATACAATTGACAAGAAATCCAGCGGAAGAAACAGGAGTAGAAACGTAGGAGTAAACAGATATGTTTTTTCATGACAATATAATCTTCAAAAATACATAAGACAACGTGCAATGTTTAAATTATTGGTTATGAGTTTTAGTAGAATGTTTAATATTTCAGGACAAAACGATTCATCATAAAAAAATAAAATAATTGGAAGTTAAACATAGACTATCGTAAGAATAGGTGAACAATCTAAATTAATTCTACAGATGGTACGAAAATTCATATATTCGATCAAAAGATTTTTTCTTTTTTTTGGTTGAGTAATGTAGACGTTTATGATCCGCCTGGTCGCACACTAAAGCAGCCCAGGTAAGAGTGAAAAAAATATCCACCGGTCGTATTCGTCCCGATGGCGGGCGTCGGCCATTATTCATTTTTACCGCAAAGTGAGCTCATTACCACTCGGTCACACTTTGGACGACTTGGATTCAATGAAAAAATGCATACAATCATCTTTTTTGTTGTGCGTACTGAAGTCCGCCCATAAGAGTGGTTAAGTGAACGTTCCGGCTTTTCTATTGTAAATGATCCAGTCGTACTGTTTTGATATGAAAGACATTTTCTACACACTTGTCACATAAGAAGTGGATCGTTGTTTTGCAGAATCACAAACAGAAATGCGGTGTTTTAGTTTTTTTTATGATGTATCCATCCACACGAGTGGCATTAAACTGGAATCTACGATGGATGTTTAGATTTAACTTTAAGTATTATATTCACTAATTCCGTGGTCCGCTTGACCAATTAATATATTACAATTGATTAAGGTTTTTAGTTGAGATAAAAAAGTCAATGGCACGAGCGGGATTCGAACCTAAGATCTTCGGCTAGATACGCCGCTGCTCTACCACTTGAGCTATCGTGCATCGGCGTATCTAGCCGAAGATCGTGGGTTCGAATCCCCCTCGTGCCACTGATTTTTTATCTCAACTAAAAACCTTAATTAATTTAAGTATTATGTACATTTTAAGTTAAATTATCTGTCATTAATTTTTTTAACGATAAAATGTTTTTCATAAAGATTATTTAATTCAATGAAATAATGTTTTTATGTAAGGTTTTGGTCGAAATGAAAAAGCTAGTGTCACGAGGGGATTCGAATGAGTCTGTGTCCGAGTGGATCGAAGTCACGATAGCTGAAGTGGATAGAGCAGGGGCGTATTGAGCCGAAGGTCTTGGGTTCGAATCCCGCTCGTGACACTAGCTTTTTCATTTCAACCAAAACCTCACATAAAAAGATTAATTAATTAAAAAAAGTAATTTGGTCAATAGACCATTAAATATAATGAATATTATTTAACTTGGACTTTTGTACGTGTATGTATGTTTATGTATATATCTCCATATTTAACTTTATATTATTAATACAGAATTATTATATTTTTAACTTGCACTTCTGTACGTGTATGTATGTAGTATATATTTCCATATTTAACTTTATATTACTTCTATTTAAAAATATTACTGCATATATTTCAATTAAATATGCCCAAAGTACTCTTATTTTTACTTACTAAATCAACATGTTTTTATGGTTCCTAATGTTATTTACATAATATTTTAAAATATGTTATATTATTTTACAATGACAATTTAAAAATTTACAAAAACAATGATAAATGCAATCTTTTTAAAGTATATTTATATGAAACATTCTTTTAAAATATTTTTTTTTTACTTTACATATTGTTTAATACTTAATAAGTAATTTTTTCCTTTGTTTTCTATTAAGTTGTTTTATTTTTTATATTGTATATTTCTATATTTAAACTTTTTTGATAAATCGGATTAATTCCGTAAAATATATTATTATTATCATTATCAAATAAACAATTTAAAATAAATTATTTTTATAGAACCTTTGGTCTATTTGGTTGATGGATGTCCTGCGTTTGAGGGACCGTCATAACGCAATTCTTTATTTACAGTTCCTCAAATACGCAATCTTTTTATTATGAACCGTCGTATGCTTTTATGCAACATAAAACTAACCAATAACCTGTTTAATACTTTTTAAAAGAATAGTTCCTACTCACAGTAAGTTGTTTCGCAACGATCCGGATTTCGAGCCTTTTAGCTCATCATCAGGTTGAAGGACTTCCACAATCTGATGATGAGCTAAAAGGCTCGAAATCCGGACGTTGCAAAACAACTTACTGTGAGTAGGAACTATTCTTTTAAAAAGTATTGAACACCACACTCACTCCATCATTTATCATTTCTAATAACCTGTTTATGGTGTAAATAAAACTCTGCGTTCTGGGAGAGCTATAATGGTTGCTAGATCCTCTCAGGATATATGCAAATAATAAATATTTTACCTATTTTAATAATGTCTAAATTTGTACAAATGGTAATAAATAAATACCAGGGTGTATCAACTTCTATAGACCATCCATTTATTTTTGAAGCGGTTAACTTTAGGAAAAACTAGTCATTTACAAACCCCAGGTTCATTTTAGCTAGGAATCATGTGGTGGTAACAGAGTTAACATAACTTTCTCATCTTGCTTCTTAATTTATTGTACGATTCGATTCTAGAACTTATTTTATGCCGCTTTAACTGGAGGAAAATTTTGATTTCTGAATTATGCCCGATTTTTGTTTTGCAAGTAAAAATGTGTTCTCACTAGTTTTGACCGAGTTATGGTATTATCTTCCATTTTATTTTAGTTTTTTTTTTTTAATACCATAACAGATAATACCATAATCCCATCAAAACAAGTGGGAACATATTTTTTGCTTGCGAAAGAAAAAATAATCGGGGATGACTCAGAAATGGTCGATCCTATCAAAAATTTCCTTTCAGTAAAAGCGGCATAAAACAAGGTCTAGAATCGATTCGTACAATAAAAATATGGGATTCTCATTTAAAATAACAAAGTTAGCGTCATTTCCCAGCTAGATGAGAAAGTTATGTTAAATCTGTTACCACCACACTAGGAATCGTGTGGTGCCAAAATTAACTTGGGGTTCGTAAATGAACATTTTTTTACGAAAGTTAACCGTTTCCGAAATAAATGGGTGGACAGTAGAAGTTGATATTCACATTATATGAGAGCGAAAGTTCTAACAACTTTCTACAACGGTTTATTTTGTAATTAATTGAACGTTTAAAAAATGTTTTACAAGGCTAATTACATTCTTGAGGGTTTATATGATTTTTTTCTTATAGGCAAAATGAGTTTTCAAGTTCATCTGGATTCAAAATTCTACAAATTCTGAAGAATTTTTTTTTTTTTGGATATGATTTTGAAACAACTCACCATCAGTCCGGATTTGGAGGCTTCCGAGTTGTGCTCGACTGCGGTGACGAAGAAGCCGGTCCCGTGCTCCTTCCCGCCTCGTATGGAGAAGCCGAGTTTCGTCGAAGACGGCCTCCTGGTGAGAGTGACCGACCTCACCCGCGCTCCTCCGCTCGAGCCGGTGGAGGAGCTCCCGCTTGAGTAACCGCTCCTCCCCGTAAAAGCCATCTGAAAACAAAAACAAAAAATTATAGTTTATGAATTTATTTATTTTTTGTTTGTTTTAATGTCCTGATTAAGGATATGTATTCCTTGAAATCTTGACGAAGGGACTGAGTGTTTTTATTCAAATTGGTCTTCAATTTTTTTGTTATATATTTAATTATTGTGTAATATTGAAGCCGTTGTTATTAATTATATCAGAGCGAATTTCTTTCGTTTAAAAAATTCTCAAAATTTATTTAGATGCTTTGTTCGTTGAATCTCGTAACATACTGGGTTCTACAATGCAATTAAACTTATCAAAAGTGAAATGGACATTGCCAATTTTGTAGTATCACTTTCCCTAGCATTTTCATTTTATTTTTATTACAAATTGCATTAGCATTTATTAGAAACTATTGTTCTTTACTGAAAGAAAATTTAATTAAGGGATTTTGAAAAAATAACAAAATAAAAGATTTCAATACCATAATTTTGTTTTTTGGACAATAATTTTTGTAAACAATGAATACCGTGTGTAATGCTTTCTGTTACCTAAAACCATGTCTGAAACGAAGGCAGAAAAAGAAGACACGAAGTTCTAGAAAGGGCGAAAAAAGAGATACAGAAAGAGCGAAAAAGCGAGAAAGAAGGTAGGGAAGAAAATAAAGGAATAAGAGAAAGACATGCATGAGAAAGAGAGAAAAAACAGAAACGCAATCTTTATGAAAAGCAGGAGAAAGAGTGATAACTACATATAGGGCTGAAAACTATACAACCCCCAGGCAGCAAAGGAGAGAGAGAAAGTGAAAAAGAAAATTGCAGAAAGAACAAAAAAAGAGAAAGAAAGAGAGAGAGAGAGAGAGAGAGAGAGAGAGAGAGAAGTAAGGGGCGAAAGTAAGGGAGCGAGAGAAAGAAATACACGATTAAGGAAGAATAAAAGAGAAACGCAAATAGTATGTAAAGGACAGCAGAAATATACCGACTGCTTGTGATAAAAAAAAATAGACAGGCCATAGGCAACGAGAGTATTGTATGGCCAGAAAAACATCATTCTTTTCTTAAAAGATTTGGCGACCTACAGCACTCTAAGTTTCTGTGAAAATTCAGTTTATGAATCGTGGGATTTCATTAAATTTCAGTGTCGACACTGGATATTGTAACCACAGATTCAAATTGGTCAAATCAATAACATAAATTCCTTTCAAAACGTTACATTTGTAAATTCGTAGATTTGTTAATTTGTTCCCGTTGCTGTCAAAAGAAAAGGTATTTTGAAAGACGTGATAAAAATTTTAAATTAAGATTTAAGTGTAAATAATCGATTTTTTAAAAAGTCAAATTTTAAAACATACAAGTTGATGACGGGTTGGTGAATCGGTGACTCATGCTGAACTGGTTATTGGGTCCGTCTTTACTCACGGGTTTGTTGATAATCAAACGCGTTTCGGCACTGAGCCATCTTGAGTGAGGAACACAGAAACAGAAGTTTTTTTTGTATTTGAACAAACCTGCGAGTGAAGTGAATAACCGGTTCAGCCTGAGTTCAAAAACTCACCAACCCATCAACAACTGATGTTTTAAATTTTAACTTTTTTTAAATCGATTATTTACACTTAAAATCTTAATTTAAATTTTTTATCTCGTCTTTCAAAATGCCTTTTCTATTGAGAGTAACGGGCAAAAATTATTGAAGCCGTTTCTTCAATCAAAAGTTATGACCAAATTTAGAAATTTTCATGGGCTCTTTCACTGTTGTAAAATAAAATGGTCACTAATTAACACTTTATTGTAATATCATGTTAGATTTATTGCCTTCCAAAGAAACTAAACTAACTAGATTCTCTGGCATATTCGACACAAAAATCCATGGATCTGGATTTTTCATCTGTACCTTCTCCTTATAAGAAGAAATATTACTGCCATAATTCCTTGCACAACGAACTAACGGATGAAAATATTATTCTTTTCGCATTTTTCTTGATAAGTGACTCTGTGAAGGTTCAGCATGATTTAAGACATTATTGACACATTTTTCTATACATGTTTTTAGCTTCAAAGTCCTGATGAAGGTCATTTATTCATCGAATGCTCGACGAACGAACCGATTTTTTTTTTAAATTTAGCTTATCACTTGTTTGTAATGTTAAATTGTAATTTTGATTGCCATTATTAATTTCATCAAAATCAATTTCTTTCCTATAAAAAGTGACGCTAGTTATACACCTCCAATTTTGGTTCTTATATGATTAACATATAGGAAAAAAAATTCTATACATAATGAATTTTTCTCTGGTTTGTTTTATCACAGAGCGTACAGGGTTTTAAAGGACAACTTTTTTTAGTAACTCTAAATTTGATCATAATTGTTGACTTAAAAATGCTCTTTTTTGTTCCGTTTTGTTCTCTAAAGAAAAAAATCATTTAAAACGTAGTAAAAATTTTACAGTAAAATTATAAGTTTAAACGATTTGTATATTAACGAGTTTTAAATTTAATTAAAATTTGAAAGGTTGTAGGTTGAGATGGGAAGTTGTAGTTCGAGTGCATCAAAGTCACTATAGTTTAGGTGGTTAGAGAAGCAGCGAATTAAGCCGAAGGTCGTGGGTTCGAATCCCGCTCGTGACACTGACTTTTTTATCTCAACCAATACCATAAATACAGATTAATTAATTGAAAGACATTATTTGGACAAGCGGACCACGAAACCTAGTGAATTTAATAAGTCAAATGAAGTATATCTTCACTAAAGCTCTCCGTGGCCATTTCATTTGTCGCCGAGAATTAAATTGATTACACGACATTTGAAAAATGGCAAAAAGGAGGGAAAATTCAAGAGGTGGGGTTGAGATGGGAAGTTAGTGTCCGAGTGGATCGAGGTCACGATAGCACAAGTGGTAGAGCAGCGGCGTATCTAGCCGAAGGTCGTGGGTTCGAATCCCGCTCTTGTCACTCATTTTTCATCTCAAGCAAAAACATTAAATAAAGAAAATAATTCGAATATATTTACAATTTTTGTATACATAGCGTGTACTTACCCACCCCCACGCAATTATACGTTTAATTATACTGATTTTGAAGTGTCCATTTCCTCACATAAACTTCTTTTAAATCAATTAAGTCCCAGGTAACTTCTTTTCTGTTATAATGAATAAGATATTCAAAACGCTGTATAATTAATCATTTCATATCTAGACGGAATTGCAGCTTTGCATTCGATTCCTGTCTGAACTGATTTCTTTCTCCTTCTCCCCCGTATTAATTTGGTAATAATGAAATAAAAAGTAAAAGTCTATTACGAAACGGTGAGAAAGGCGACTTTTCCGTTTTCATTGTCTTTATTCATGTGCGGGCCGGTTTTAATACATGCGGGCTGGACGTAGCTCGGAGCGGAACGAAAGTGTAAACAATAAACCACCTGTTTCCCACCGCACTTTACGATCCCGTCCTCATTTACACTCGAATATCACGATCTTACGGGTGAAGGTGCAATTGTGTTTTAGTTTAATAGGCCTAAGTCTGCGTGAGAGGCCAGGGAGGTGTGAGTGATTAATTGATTTATCGAGTTTGGATAAGTGAACGATTGAACGGATGTGATTGACTGAATGAATCGATTGAGTTACGTAATCAATAGGTGAACGGCTAAGTTAAGCCTAAGGGAGAAAAAATTATTAACAAATGTATTGATGCGTGAATGGATACGTACGTGAGGATGATTGACAAAACTTTCGAGTTGTAATGGAAAGATGTGAGCGATTGAGAAAATGTAAAAAAGTATATTTATAGTGTTTAAAAAATGGATAGTGATAGAGATAGATAGAGGGAGAGGGAGAGTGAGAGTGAGAGTGAGAGTGAGAGAGAGAGAGAGAGAGAAAGAGAGAGAGAAAGAGAGAGAGAGAGAAAGAGAGAGAGAAAGAGAGAGAGAAAGAGAGAGAGAGAGAGAGAAAGAGAGAGAGAGAGAGAGAGAGAGAGAGAGTGAGAGAGAGAGAGACATACAGACAGCCAGGGAGAAAAAAATAGGGATAGATAAATAGATATCGATTTCTATTTATCTATCCCTATCTATATCTATCTTTCTTTCTTTCTGGAATATACAACCACAGATGAAAAGAAAAGATTTTATATATATAAAATCTTTTCTTATATATATACACACATACATCTTCCTATCAACTCTGCGTCCCCTCAAAGAAATTTTACATTTAAACCGGCGTCCACCGTAAAAATATGGTGTAATATGATCAAAGTATTCGATGTTATAAGCATATCTTATATAAGCATTTTGTGCTCTTTGTAGTTTTTCTAGATTTGTTTTACTTATATTAGAATAGCATAGGCAAGCATACTCAAAGATTGGGAACAACATAGATTTTATAATTTGTAATTTAACCTCAGGTGGAAGATCAATTTGGATTTTTCGCAGCTGACAAAGTCTTTGGAAAGTTTTTTTTATTATAAATGTGGATCATTTGTTCTGACCAAGACAAAGTTTCATCGACTGTGACACCAAGATTCTTTAATGATATGAACAGCAGTATTTTGCGGTTATTTATTAGGATATTTACATTTTTAACATTAATACGAGAGAGAGAGAAAGAGAGAAAGAGGGAGAGGAAGATGGAGAGAGAGAGGGGGGGAGAGGGAGAGAGTGAGAAAGAATGAGAAAGAGGGAGGGTGACTGAGGGAGAGAGAGTGAGAAGAGAGACTTAGAGAGAGAGAGAGAGAGAGAGAGAGAGAGAGAGAGAGAGAGAGAGAGATTGATGATTGATTGATTGATACCGCTTTATTTACATAATCTCTCAAGATTTGGTCTCAAGGACCACTCTTACATCTTAAGAGAAAAGAGAGAGAGAGAGAAATCGATTTCTATTTATCTAATATATACATACACACACACACGCCTATCAACTCGGCGTCCCCTCAAAGAAATTTTACATTTAAAGCTGCCTCCACCATAAAAATATGGTGTAACATGATCAAAGTATTCGATGTTATAAGCATAGCTTATATAAGCATTTTGTGTATGT